GGAGTTTAAAGGTAAACGGGTTTCTCCGTGGACACACGAACGCTGCATCATCCTGAAGCCTCTCTCGTCCTGTTCAGTTTTTTTTATAACCGAGAATTCTTTATACCTTTATAAGTTAACGTGCAAGGTCCTAGGGAAATTATTAACGAAAACGATTGGCTTCTTCTAACGATGAAATGAAAGAAAAATTGCGTCTTCGGATTGTCGAGTTCAAGTTGTTGTCAAGTTGGTAAGCGTCCAAGATCGGTGAAACCAAGTTCCACGGACGCGACACCCCTATTTCTTCTATTTACATATAAAAAACGGAAAAATTGAATCGAACAAAAGGCTAAAATGGCACGTGACACCACTCACGTGCATGCGAGGGGAGCACTGGGACATCGATGCGGTAATTTGGTTGAACGTCGTAGCCCTTTGTTCGTCTCGTTACTGAAATTCTATTCCCCCTAGAGAAAATGGACCGCCGATACCGCCGCTACAAAGTCAGCTAGGTTTTTATCATTGCAACAAAGGGACGTATTAGCCGTTAAATGGCGCTTAATAGCACCTGTTAGGCTGCTTTGCTTCTTGCGTTGCTACTCTTAATGATATACAGCGCCGATGGATACGGCAAATATGTGCGGCATATGGTGCACCCTGACGACGCCCTGTGCACGTGCACTATGTTATCTTTATCGATGGAATAAATGTCGTATTAACGGACGAAACGTGTCATTAGGGTGTCTCGGAAAATATCGCGCTCTTCGAACCTTTCATTTACTTGCAAGGGAAGCGTCTCGAGCTGTCAGAACTGTACAAAATTTTAACAATAATCGCGGAACCGTCGCTCGGAAGCAATTTTTCATACAAAAAGAGATCGAAAAGTCCTTTGCCGTTTTACAATCCAAAGTCTCGTTACCTAAATGCAAGCGATTAAAGTTAGCAAGCGCGACTCCCAACGCACCGCCATTTTGTGGCCCCAGTCAGCTGGTCTTTGGGTTGCGCACTCGTTTCCGCGCAGGTGTTTGTACAAAAACTTGAACTGCTCGTATGCATCTCGACGAGAAAGCTTCGGATTGCGAAGTGGAAAAGGACTTGAATATCATCGACGGTATACAAATGAGAAGAGAAGGAAGACACCTCGTTGTCCTTTCGCTCTGTGATCTCTCCGGACGACCATGATCTTCCTCGGCTCGACAGGATGATCCTCTAAGGGTACATGAAGAGTTTCATGCGAAGAGAACGATGACTAGGCTGCAGATTTTATATTTAACATACATAACATATACATAATGTATGTTGAATATATTCTACAATTATTATAATGATATCGTTATTTTATTTTGCATAAATGCATGTAACGTTTGATTATCCACATAAAATCCACAGTCTAACGATGATTTTTCTTTTGGGAATATTCTGTGATCCTTCCAAGATGCTCGTGTCTCCCACTTCCGGTTGGACCATTTCATTTCACTCGTCTACCTATTGTCAAACGACCATCAACCGTTATTATCGCGAGGATAATAACGAAGTTTGTCGCCTATCTTCCGTGGAATACTCTTATCGCCTTGCGACATATGGCGTGTTCACCTGGCGCCTAGACTACTCGAGTGTTGCTTTCGATACGAATCCAACGATGGTCGTTGGAAAATTTACATAAACCCACAGCTGACAGAGAGTCGTTGGTACTTCTCGTGCGTCGCATTTCCGTCGACGACAGACGTAGAACGAGTCCGAGCAAATCGAATCGCAATAGACCGCAGCTGGATCGTCGAGGGGTCTGACGTTTAGGGGTTCCTCTCGCTCTGGAGAAAAAGGCACTCTGAACAAATCTTTGAAGTTTACCCAACCTTGAACTGAATTCAAGTTCCAAGCTCTGAGCTTTGAGCTCGTACTCAAAATGATCAGAGTTCTCCAGAATTGTTTCTTTTAGATTTTGTTAAATCTCCAGACACGAGTCGCAACCCGGTCGGCTTACTGCTACTCTGACATTTTTTTCCTCGTGCTAGGGGCCCACGGGCCGCAGAGGAGCCGAAAGAGGCTGGCCCAAAGCAACGGGGCCTGGATATTCCGGTTCACTTAATCGTTTCTTTCGAGTTGAGATCGTGGCCGGGCTACACTCCCTCTCTCGGCTGGTTCCAACCGAAAAAATGAAAAAAGATCGGCCGCTTTGGATACACAAAGGACTGAGAAAACCTTCTAGCTCCGCCCGTAGAGCGCGGCTACTCAAATTGTCTGCCGGTTGTTGTCGAATATCGTGACGGAAATTTGTATGGGCTTGACGCGGCTATACAACGTGTCTCGTGAAATACGTAACGTCGCGACAGATGCATCGTTATTCGTCAAACTGTACGAATAATGAAAATTCGCTACCAGATGATACAATATTTACGATTCTTAAAATTCCGTGCTTTGAAGCGATCGGTAATCGCAAAAATTTACATGCAATTTACTCTATTGGTCCCATCAGAACGAATAAAGTATTCGAGTTTAACTAATCGAAGACTCGATGATACAAATTTATACATCTCCCAGCTAGTTGGATCTAGTTAAAACGGGCAACATCACGCCACGGTGTGTACGTGCATCCTCTGTCCATTTGCGCATGAAGCTTCTCGTTCTTCTCGTTATTCTTATGCAGCCCTGTACTTCTTGAATAGTCTTCTTGTAGTGGTTTCCTGCACAGACCTTTGGTATCAGGGATACGTTTATTGTAAACTCCCTCCTGCACAACTAACTACAACCATCCAGCTAACTGCAATATTTTTCATCATTGTCTAATGCAGGAATGGGCAACGAGGATCGGTAATGACAAGAGCACTCGTGGTTCGTGAGACACCGCTATAGAGATATTATAGATAGAGCAGAGGGAAGATCTCTGTGCTTCTGTGAATGTAAAATATATGTAATTATTAGAAGTGTAAACGATAACCATTTATCATTAACACACAAATGATATAAAAATACTCTGTTATAGAGAGACAGATAGGATACCACTGTCTAGCTCTCTTACTCTTTCTATAATATCTCTATGCACTCTTGGATATCGCGCGTGTCGCTACGAGCCAAGTGACGTCACGCTGAAACGTGATTGGCGGGGAGAGAGCGTAGGAGTGGGGTTAGTCAGCGCAGCAGAGCCTACGGCGTGCACTGAGGCACTGACGGCCGTCGCATGTGTTACACACATGCCTCCCTCCCCTGCTGTTGCTCCCCTCAAATCGCGTCTAACGTTGCCCATCTCTATTCTCTAGTCTCTAGTCTAACCCTAGCTTAGACTCGTTTGTTTGTGAATTTTCACCTTATTTTGTGCTTCTAGCTCTGCGCTAAAATAATGTCGAAACGTCACTCGTGCTTCGCGTGTCGACGAGCCATCGAAGAGGAGCGATCTCGTCGAATCGTTCGTTCGAGAGCACGCCACGTTCGTGGCGCAACGATCGTCGAAACCGTTGAGCGGACACGAGCTCAGCAGACGAAAACGTTTGCGAGATAACGAACACGTCGAGTATATTTCAAAGCAAATCTCGCAACAAAATAAATTCTACGGCAAATATTGTTTTTTTAAACGAGTCGTTCGACCTCTGAACATCGCGAGGAATGTTTCTTTACTTCCTGTTCGATGTTACGCGAAATCTGGCATCGTCGACTTACGAATGACGCAGTTGTTTCTAATGATCGATCTCGTCGTTGAATTTTGACGCAAGAGTGTACTTTTTTCCCCTCATTTTTTGTTTGTTCTTTATCTGATAACCGGGAATGAGCGCGGTCGAAGCAGAATTAGTACTACAATCGAGGCGCGTACTCGGCGCGTGGTTTCATAAATATTCCCGCGGAATTATTAAGCGCGATTTGCATACGTCGTTCGCGCGAATCGCTCCTTTTCGCGGGCTCCGCGGCGCGCAGACGGTGACAAAAGCAAACGTTTGCCAACGGCGAGCGAGAGACGAGGATCAACGAGAACGTTGAACAGCGAGGGGTATATACAGTGACGGACAAATGTATTTAGACAAACAGTTTTAAACGGATTAGTTTTTGTCACTTACATTTCTGATTATTAGAATGCGGAAATATACGTAACGTACGTTGAATATATGTTGCAATTCGTTGAAAATGAAGAATATTAGTTCATGTCATAAATAAGAGCCACAGTCTATTAATACGATTAGCATTTTTTCCATTTTTGTTTAAATGTATTAATTTTTATTTATTCCTTATTCTCTCATATGGAAATGTTTGTACGAATACATTTGGCTTGGATCCTGTACGTATTGGCACGTGGAAAGCTAGGTGGCGCCAGTGGCGCAGAGAGCTTCCATCCAAATGCCAAGAAAACGCATCCGAACTGGTCGCCACGCGATTCGAATGCATCGCTGAATGTTTTACTCGAATCGCTAACAACCCGTTCCCCCGTGACGACTTTTAATCACGCACGGTATCGCGTAATCGAGGCGGACGCGTGATTCGCCGGATGTAATCGCGAATTAGCGTGACAAGATAATGGTTCAACTCTCGTTATTTTTTGTTTTCAAATAATTGTAAACTCGATACTTTCCAAGTCGATTTGTCAAGTCGGTTAAGAGATTACTGGAATCCACTTGAAAACTATCGAGTTTATCTTTCGCCTGCAAGCAATTCTTAATTTTTAAATAATTGTTACTTTGCACTGCATGGTATGCTCCTCTGAAAAACACTTTCAAACGGTTTTTCATACCGTCGTTTTTACGACGGCGATCGTTAGGCGTTGAAAAACATCCTAAATAATATATTGTAAACGACACGACCACCTCAAATTTCGAATTTATTCGTGGGGTGTAGCGTCACTGTCGATTTTGATGAAATTAGCGGGGCCTTCGAGATCGGTAGTCCCGTACCTGGCGTTTCGAGCAACACATGCAATATGGCGGCGAGCTCGGATGTTCTTTCGACGTTTGGATAAGAGCGAGCAGGAGGTTGAAATCTCCTGAAATCATCCAGCCTTCCTCACTCGCCGTCGTCGTAACGTCGTTCGAATATCTCGCCAGGTTCGATACCTCGGAGGACTTCGCGCTGGGCGTGCACGTAAACAGGGGGCCAGAGAAAATACGAGCCGAGCGAAATTGCACGGTGAGGTTAACCTCGCCGTTTCTGCCTATTCGACAACGACACGAACGAGGAAAAGAGAAGAGATATATACGTGCTGGTGTCGTGAGAGCGAGAAGGTAAAAGGGGTTAGGAGTGGAAGGAAGGGTAGGATAGGATCGAAAGAGACAGAGCTCGAGGGGGAGGGAATGAACGGCCCTGGGAGTCATCAGCATCGCGGCTTGGGCATGCAGGGACGTTACAGGGGCGTAGTAAGCGGTGGCAACCCAACAGGGCCTCACTCGCGTCCACCAGCGCCACCTCACGGCCGCGGTGGATGGCATCCTCATAATCAGCACCCTCAGCACGCCCAGATACCTCAGCAGTACAACAGCAACAAGGAATATCCGTATCGACAGTGTCCACCACGCTTCCATAACGGGTATATAACGACACCGTGTACTTTTCGTCTGTTTACGAAATTTCGAGCAATGTTTCTTTCATTTGGAATATCCGGGACGATAATTAATTGGTAATGTCATACCAAACATTATCCTACGAAACGTAGGACTAAAACGCTTGGAAAACCATTCCCAACTAATTATTTTTAAGCGTGCAATCATTGGAGTTGTTATTTTCTTGCAAAAACAAGGTCCAAATCGTTGTTCTGAACTGTCCAAGTAAAAAAATCATTGCACTGTATCGACGACAAAACGGATCAAAACTTTACAATCGTTAAATAATTTTGTTCCCTTTTTGAGAACAATCGCGCGTCACACGAATCAATTGATCGATGAAAGTAGTACATATTTTTCTGTGGTGCAAACGCGCTACTCTGTGGAAACAAGGCCTTAGGGAGTGTAGCTTCGTAATGTAACTTCCACTTTAGGCCAGTTAGGCTAAAGGAAAAAATTTTTAGGCATGGGACACGACTTCGCGATGACAACACAGTTGATAAACACGCAGAGACGCTTTTATGTTACGCTAATCGTCGGTAGGCAACATGACGTCACTTGCGATTTTGAAAGAAATGCATGTAGGGTCGTCACTGGTCAGAGTATTAACGTGACTTTACAGTACGTGAAAACGAAACTTAAAGGCGGCCCTGGGTAAGCGAGAGCGAACGGTCAGCGCGAAAGTATTCTGTTAAGCGACGCGTACAGCCTAGCAAGTGTGTATTTAATTTTCAGAGTAACCGACATTGAAGAGTCCGACGATTCTAATCGACGATAATAAACGCGCGCAGGGGTGCCCCTCGCGATGCACACGTTACGACGCTGCGTGTTGCAGACGCTGCAACGGCGCACTTTTGTTTCCTCGTTCGTTGGTTCAGTCGCGTTCGGATGCCTCGTTAAAAAACCACGCGTTTCTTTCGATTTTCCCTGGTCGAGTCAAGCTGCTTCCGTTCGGGGGCATTTCGTCACCGGAAACGCGCGAAATCGCGCTGGGACGCTGGTTGTTGAAAATTTAACCGCAGTCTATGTTTACGCGACATATAGATAGGAGCATTCGCATGTGAAAAAACGCAAACGTTTAGCTTACTCTCTCGCGTGGCGATACGTTTGTGAAAGTGTATCTGTACATACGATCACGTTGTAAATAGAATAGAGAACATGTACACGAGACGTATCCACGAATGGCACGGTAAATGTAGAGCGAAAAATTGTCCCGTGTAAATTTCGACTCGTCGTGCGATTCGTTTCTGCATGAGACACCAATACAGCACACGACCTTCGATGTACGACTGGAATCAATAATCTTAGCATTCGTTAACAGAGTAATCATGATTTCTTCGTATCTACGAATGCTTGAACTTTTTTTTTTTTTTTTTTTTTTAAATTCTATTTCTTCTGTTCTCTGCGTGCCATGTTTACACGTTTCTTCACTGGTTATCTTGTTTAGCATGCAAACCGTACGAATATCAGTTCTGAATGAGTATAAGCATACAGTATTCTTCCTTCTGCGTCTGCATCTTCTTGTTGCTGCGTATTTTATTAATTCGCGCGAAGGGGTCCTACGTTATCGACCCAAATCGAAACGTTTAAAACAGGATCCACGTTCGATCGGTTACCGACAGGCCACTCGATAGATTTAGCGTTACGTATCTATTTATTGTATCGTTGAATGATTCGCGTAAACACGACAGGGCCTCGTCATACGACGGCCATCGCATTTATTCAGCTGCGCGATGCTAGAAATAATACCGTGGTTACTTCGTGACACGGTATCTAGTCCAACGGAACGCTTTATCGCGCGTTCGGTTTAGTAACGAGTTACGGATAAGAGAGCAGAAATGTCGTCGCCATGATGATAATTGCACGGTATAGGTCCGCGCCTCGTATAGGTGTGTTTATCGCTAACAGTTCCTCTGGCATATTCGAGCCGTTAAACCGGTACACAAGATACTAACTCTACGAGCAGATCAATACACGTCGTTGGTTAAGAATCGGCACGAGGATCACTTTTTCTAAATTACGCGTGATATATTACGGTGAAAGTACTTGGAAGATTTGCCGCTCTCGTGGCGCCATTACTTCTTTTCGTGTAACATTCAACCCAGATTCGATCGGGTGATTGTAATTTCGATGCAAATATTTGTACGAAGGGAAACAAACGTTTAAATTGCTTGGAAAAGAATAAATTCAATTTCATAGAAATTTTACGTTGTTTCGCTATAAGAGAGAGAGAGAGTGACCGAGAGGTTAGGTTTCTATTACAAAATTCACGATAATAAAAGGAAAGGCTACGCTTCGGTTAGATACATACATACGTATCGTTTACTATCGATTTTAACGTGACTTTATGGAAAAGGGCGTCGGTTACTTTCACTGTAACATAATTAGGGCGATTTTATGATACGATTGTGAATAATTCGATGGTTTTGTACACGTTTAGGGATTGTCCTGGGGTTGGTACGTCTTCCGGGCCAAACGGTAAGGAAGTTTCGTATCACGGGAACGTAGGCGGATCCAGCGTGGGGTATAAACCGCCCCCGCAACATAGTCCGCAATCGAGAGGGCCACCAGCACATTTTCCACAAGAGTCGGTGGGCCCACCTGCCAATTCTCCGCCATTGCATATCAACATCTGCGGCCAAGTAAGTGTTTCTCCTATCTCTCATCGTACATACACGAAAAGCGTTTTTACGAGACGAAAATATAAACAAAAGAAAAAAATACTCTCGCAGGAGAACACGATGCGTGGTCCATTATTGAACATGAGTCCAGGCCTTGGAGCTAGCGGCGTCGATATGGAGTACCGTAGAAGTTCTCAAGGTATATTCGGAGTTTCGAAACGGTCTATCGATCTTTGCTACTCGTACGCGTCTCCTCGTTGCGATCCTCCTGAAAGTAACGACACGTTTTTCAGCCACAAATCAGCTACCTCTGAGCCCTGTACAAATTCAACCGTCGCCGCCATATTACAGACAGCCTAGTCAAGACGATGGCAGAAAGGTATATGCATTTCTTTTTCGATTAATCAATTTTTATATATTTTTTACGCGATTGTACGACGATTAGTATTGAAGTCATCATTTGTTGATTTGTTGATAAACATATAAAATACGTAACATAATTAATGACAAACAAATACATGTAGTGTAACGTCGTTGAAAGTAATGTGAATAATTCTAATAAGTTTATGTATTATTTATAGCTTGAATAGCTTGTTGAATCTTAGTAAGTAACGTTAATTTCGTTTCAGAGCGAGTCCCCATCCAGAAAGCGTCGCCGAATATCGCGTAACGGCGCTGTTTCCGGAATAGAAGTCCGGGAGACAACACCTCCGTCGCCTACACCGTCGCTGCACACGACTCTACCATCTATATCGTCCCTGCCATCCCTGCCGACGCCACCGCCGTGGGAATTCTCGCCAGCGCCTCAAAGACGATCGCCTCGCAATCACATGTCCACTCGCGGCAGCCCGACGATTAGAAATCGTTATCAGCGTTACACGGATTCATTCGGGCTGTCTCATCCTTTTCTGCCCGGGCACAATTCCCATCCGACGATTCACAGTTCTCATCACGGGATCCACGGTTCTCATCACAACATTCACAACTCCCACCACAACATGCATAACGCGCATCAGACGCATCCCCATCATCCAGCGGGCACTGGGCATCACCCAGCGCAAGGAGCGAACGGCCCTGTGGTCGTCGACGTGGGGCAAGTCGGTGTTTCTGGGTTGGGGGTCGCCGTTAGCGGGGAACCGCTTTGGCATCCTCCGACGACAGGTTACAGAATTCCTTGTCAGCTGCACAGCATATACACGCCGCCTGCAGCGCACGCGTTCGCGCACTCGTGTCAGGTAAATATTCGTTCCTCCCCGACGCGATCGAACGAGTCTCCACTGCAGCGTTTCCCAAACGCTATAGTCGTTTCCAACTACGCTGACGTTCCAAACCGTACAGGCTTATCTCCAGGGCTTGTTTATTTAGATTTTGCGCCTAGATCGGCTAGGTTTTCCTTTAATATTATTGATACGTTTATTTAGGGTACGTAAAGGAAAAGGAAATGCGCCATTTTGGTTAGGACGACGGAAGTGCAGTACTCGTCTTATTTCAATTTATTCTTGTTGGGATTAACGAGCATATTTCTTCAGGTCACCCATCACCACAGTCACTACTCACCAGCTCATCCGACCCACCCGGGTCACCACAGTCTAGTTGGTTCGATAGTTGGCGCTGCATCCAGGGGATATCCAACGCCAGCCGGAGGTCCTGTTGCGGCTCTTCATCACGCTCACGCGCCTCCGCCGCCCGTCCATACTACTCATTACACTGCACACCACCAACTTTCGCAACAGGTACAGAAAGAAAAAAATCCTTGTTAACCAACAACAAAATCCTACTCCCATGGATTGCTTCCAATTTTGTCTCGTTTTTATCTATATATATTTTTCTTTCTTTCTTTCAGCGAGAAGTTGAACTAGAGTTAATCGAATCCCATCACCATCACCGAGACGGGGCTGCCGCCGGTGCCCCACTATCGTTACCACATTCGTACTCGCCACCAGCTCTTACTCAAGTCACGACACCACCTCCCATGTTGCTGTCGGAGAACGTGATAAACCGTCATTTGGAGTTGTTACAGCACAGAACTCGACGTGCCGCGTCGAATGTTCACACGCTCAGACGACCAAGGTCGAACAGATGGAGAGGCACGCCCCCGTTACCACCGACATCTTATCCAGGATTCTTGTTGCACTTCTTGTAAGCGTTACGAAGATGATCATACCGCGTTTAAATCCCAACCTCGTTTCTATTATCAATGATACTACTGAACGACGAAACAATTAGTCAATTGTATTGTTTCAATTTCAGAGCGATGTTCAGCAACCCGCCATTATCCCCGTACAGTCAAGCAGAGCTGTCGTCGCCCGATTCGGTGACTGAGAATTACGAGGCTCTGCTGTCTTTAGCGGAGAGACTTGGCGAGGCTAAACCACGAGGACTGACGCGTGCCGAGGTCGAACAACTGCCTTCGTATAAATTCAACGCTGAGACACACCAGGGAGACCAGACGAACTGCGTGGTCTGCATGTGTGACTTCGAGGCCCTACAATCGTTACGTGTTTTGCCGTGCTCTCACGAATTTCACTCCAAGTGCATCGACAAATGGCTCAAAGTAAGTGACTTGCTTTGTTTATGCTATATTGTCTTTCATGTATTATAGCACTAAGATCGTGTCATAATTTTGTTGTTCGCTCAAGAATATAGTTACACCTTTGTACCTAAGCGTATATTATTTTATTTTATTTTATTTGGTTAGTACAGTTTGTTGTAACTGAATCGTTTCAGTCGAATCGAACGTGTCCAATATGCCGTGGAGATGCTGGAGAATACTTTGGGAACAGTGGCACCGGTAGCGACTGACGCCGAGCTGCCCAAGTGCACTAGCGCCAACTGTCGCGAGTCTCAGGGACACTACTTCGCGCGGAGCTTCCAGCCGTCACGCTGCTGGTTTGTGCAAATTTATCTTGATAAGCGTTCGCGCCCTTTTCTCTAGCCGGACCGACGGATGGGGCGTCTTTTTTCGTCAACGATTGAAAGATTATCCAGCCCCAGAAATCGTTCACGAATAAACGTCGGCCTGCGTCATTCTACGCGACGAGGAGGACCGTGGAAGAGCAACAGAGAAACAAAAAAAGTCCATTCAGGGTATGAGATCATGTCTGGTGTCGAGAGAAGGACCGTAACGAATAATAAAGGTACACGATTTTAAATTACAGCATGCAAAAAAGAATTTGTACGAGGCGAATAACGGTTGCTGCGTTTATTCCATTGTTTTCTCTGGGGAATAGAGAAAAAGTCGGAGAGAGAGAAAGAACGAAAGAGAGTATGTATGCGTAACGATAATAAGCAATCAACCGAGATTCGAGGAAAAACGAAGATGTCCGAAGAATAATACCAAGCTACCCAATACACGCATTTCTCGTCAGGATCGCAGAGAGTCTGACTACGTCCCGTTCGTTTGTTTGTTCATTGTAGACGCTTACAAATTCACGGATCTAACGCTCGTTTGTTGTTTGTGTTTGCTATACTTTTATATATATATATATAAATATGTATAGTGTCTCGGGTTTGTGTACATAATTACCTGTATACCGCGAAACTATTTGCCACTTTCCATTAACGTTCCAAGTTTTTATTATATTATATTATATATAGTTGTCCTTCAATCCTACGTAATTGTACATATGACTCGCATAAACACTCCTAATACGTATACGTGTGCGCATACAACCGATCATCAAAGGTATTCGTTTCGGGCGCTTAACCAAATGTAGTGTGTAAATTCCTCTTTCGTTAATTATTTTTTTTTGTTTTGTTTTCTCGCGATAAAGGAGAACAAAACGTTATCGGATAAAACAGAGGTGTCGCAACTTCCTAAACGAGTAACCAGGCTTTTTGTGTCTTTTGTCTAGGCTGATTATAGTTTGTTATACGTCGAACATTGTATGTAAGTGTTTGCTATAGCAACGTTTAGGTGCTATACGTCGAGCAAACGTTGTTAGATTGTTTCGTCGACGGTCGTGACTGTTTTTGTAAAGTATCCGGCAACACTTTACGTCCCATTCTTGAGAGAATTCGTTTCACATCGCCATGATTCGTTGATTGTTTCCGTTACTTATTTTCTTTCGTGCCGTTTCATCGTTTTCGGGAACGAACGAGAGATAGGTAAATTTGTAGCGTCACGTAACCATTAAGTTGGCGTCTAGAGAGTTTGGCTATTTTTTTTTTCACTAAATTTAGAAAAAAAAATTTATTTCGATCAAATACACTGTTTACAGGGCAAAGATAAGGAAAAGGTAATATCTAATTTGAAAAAAAATGAATTTGAAGTTTTTAGACTTACTTTAGAGATACGAGAACGCCTACTTAAGAGGTTTAAGACGATTACACGGTATCGTAGAACGTAGACTTCCGAAACAAAGAAAACGAAACTGGCCCGTGAGAGGAGAGACAGAGACAAATGAAAATGGTCAGGCTCATCAGCAATAGTTATTACGCATAAAAAAAAGCTACGTAAAGAAGAACACAAAACTGAATAAAAGTAAAAAAAATGTAAGAATGAAAGATAAGAATACTGCTTCTGTTTCCTGCGTATCTACCTCTAATAGATGAAATGAAACGATTCATATTTTTTTATACACACATCTCATAAACAATAAACGTACGTACGCTAAGAAAACCAAAAATGAAAAAAAAAAAACGGAAAAGTGAAGAGAACAGGGAGAAGAGAAACCGCCGGATAGAGGAAACGAGTAAACCGCGATTTTAGAATTTTCAATATTTAAATTAACGATTAAAGATTAAGGTATATCGGATAAAAAAAAAAAAAAAAAAGAATACATATTTAGAAAAAGTCCTTAACAGAGTTTACGAATCAGATATAAATATTCAAATATTCGTTCTTTCGAAGGAGATTGTACGTTCCCGAGGTTCTTGACGAGATTCACTATACGTTATCTAAACCAGAGGGATGCCACGTGGAAAGAAAGAAAAAGATAACACGAGTTTCCGCTTCTCTGTCTAGGAATAAAAATTCTCCGGATGATTTTCGTTACTTAGAAAATGTTTTCGAGTTGTCTCCTGATTAGCAAAATTGTTGTTGAATTGTTTGTGAAAATCTAAGAAAAGAAAAAAAAGTAGGGTACTCTTGTGATTGATTTTTATTTAGGCCGCTAGAACGTTTTCGAATTCCTGTCGGTTTATCGCTTGAACACTTTTGTGAGAAGAATAAAAAGTAAAACGTACAATATGCAACACGTGTAAAATTTCATTCTTTAACGGTTTGTTTCGTGTTAGTCGGGCTGGTAAACGATGGAAAAGTCGCGTGGTCCCTCACAGATGAATGATATAAGATACTGTGTGCACAGAAAGGCGGACGACTAACGTAATCGAATGGGAAACGAGCGTGACACCGTATCGGTCATGTTTGTACCTCCTTGATCTATCCTTCCATTTCTAATCGCGTGCCTTTACTATACCGACCGAGTATCGGGCAACGGAGAGTTGAAGCGAAAAGTTGAAGGGAAGATACGCGTACCACCCATCTACGAAACCGAACTCGGACATTTATCGAATCACGGGAATCTGTATCAGAGCACGAAAGCAAAACCACGCGACACGTGGATGGAAAATCGCTCGTTAACGCCGTGCCCATCTGTGTGTACCTAGAAGTGATCGAAGGACCGTTATCTTTATTTCGACTAACCAAATTCTAATCTCTTAGTTTTCGCGTAGAAGTGCAAATGACACAAGCCATCAAATATCAGGATTCATGGGGTTTCGAAATTAAAATTCTTCGTAATAGTACTCCAGGTGGACCGCAGTTATGTTTGGTTTTCTATGTGTTAGGCTCGACTCGCAACTCGAGCTTCGGTCAATGTTGCATCCTTTGCACTTTAGATTATAGATCGAGTCATTTTTCTGTACAATTCTGTTTTCTCTACGGTATCAATCGTCGGTAGTATCCATCATAAAGGCGTTCCACGTGAAGCATCTCACGGCTCCAGCCTTCGATCTATACGTCACACGAGGTCGATACGGCGATTCACTCGAAAGCGAAACTCGTCCGTGCAACCGTATATACGTAAAACATGTACATTTTAATAGCGACACGAGGGTCTAAGCGATGCGTTCACGATATTCGTGAAAGGAATAGAAACGATAACTGGCAGAGTCGAACAGAGGCTAATGAAAGTAGCTGGCAAAGTCGTCGCACGTAAGGCAACCATTAGGGATAAACCTGTTCGATTATTTCGTTTCGGTTGGTCGCCGTTTCGCGGGAGTGTCGCATCATTCGCGCCGCTTGCTACAAATGGCTGCAAACACAGCCAAACACGGTGTAGCGTGGCATGTAACCCGGATCGTTATCTAACACAATATCAAAAACTCTCGTGTGTGTTTGCGTGTGTCTGTGAGTGTGTGTATGTGTGTGTGTTTGTATGCTTGCTATCTGTATGTAAAGGAAGACGAGAGAAACGACGGTAGAGTGTTGGTTTTTCCTAGATGCATAAGAGAACACATATCACAATTTTTCCATCGTGTCCACCACGTCTCGCACGCTCGACCTCTTTGTCGCGTTCATACTCGGGCCGGAGGAAGAAGGTAAAAGCTCATTTTCTACTTAAGCTTAAGTACACGAAAGAGTGAGAGAGAGTTTGTCGAAAGGGACGAGAGCGTTCGATCGGAAGAAATCGACGCTAAAGGAAAAAACACGTTTTCTCTGGCGACAATTTTTTGTACGAACTTTTCAGCACGTGGTCAGACTGCTCAGTTGGAACGAAAGAAGGGCTACAAATGTGTCGCTTCGCAGAGGAAATTTTACACGTGGTCATACACGCGTGTTTGACAATGATTAAGGGGGAAACAAAGCATAGTCTTTTCAGTTGTAATTGTCAGGTTCCACAGATTCAAGCTGTGTGGTTTTAGGTACGTTAAGTAGGTTAGGTATTTCAGTGTTTCAGCTTCGTCACGAGTCACGTAACAAACTGATACTGTATGATGACGTAAGGTACTGTATGATAGTATGCAACATAGCGATTGACGATGTATGATACTAAATCTCTACCAGATGGCACCACACATTGCTCTAAGATTCAGTATCGGTACGTGGACCCTCGATGAATCTACTTAAAGACTTCGAAGCTTTGAAAAATGCTCCCAAAAACGCACAGCATGAATCTTCGAATGAATTTTTTGTGCGAATGTCCTATCAAAGGAATAACCTTCACCGATGCAACGCTCCGTTCCTTGACGCACGCTTAGACTAAGGTAGCATAATTTATCCGTAACGCGTACCTTAAGCACACCCCGAAGCCTAGTGTACCAGTTGCAGCAGAAAATCGCGATCGGTTCCTGGGACGTCTCCATTTCATCGCGACCGTGAACCAATACTGTTCATACTCGTTATCGTCGACCGTAGAATCGCGTTTTTTTCTTTTTTTTTTTTCCTTATTTTTCCCCAGCGGACAATTACGATTGTCGACCATTCGTCGTCCGCACGTTCTAGGAACCGATCGCTAAGAAACAGTACCAAAAGTTATTGTTCCGACGTGTGAGTTTCACGCGAATTTGCTTCTAGACGTAACGACGAATTTGTACATACGGTAACATGTATTCGTTTGTATACACACTGTACACGCAGAGACGTATCCGTAAGCGCAAACATATACGTACATGTATATGTATGCATGCATGTACATGCATATACGTACGTACGTATGCGTATGCACGTGCAATTTAAGCGAGGGATGCGAAAGTATGTTTGATTTTCGATCACTTAGGGTAACAGAGGTAGTTGCCCCGCAAGTATAATATTGAACTTGCTTAACTCGGCTGTCGTGACGTGGCGCCGTTATGGCCAACTGCGCGTTAAACTGATTTATGCATATCGAAGGTCATTACTGAAGTATTCATTTTCTAAAAGCCCAGGCGAACGCACCGCGAAGGTCTCGCCAAAATTACGACGATCCTTGGTCGGTCTTACGACCTCTGCGCTTTCACGCGGTGTCGAGCGTAAACAACAAAAATTGTTCAATAACTATTTTCGCTTGTGTAAATAACAGTTTAACGCGCAGAGGATTGGACCAGCGGCAACGTTTCATCGAATCAAACTTATTTAAAAAGCGTCGTTCTTCGTCCGAGTTGTCCCCTATCGTCATAGAAGCAAAATGGCGATACCCAGTGGTGTTCGAAGCATCTGGGAACAGCAATAAATCAAACACAGTCGACCACACCGATAGACAATGATGTGGATCAGAGATGGGGAAGATACTTTTCTAAATGAAACATTTCGATTAACGAATAAACGTGTTGAATAGGTATATTCTTATTCGTTATCTATCGTACGTATAAGGTTTACCCCATCTCTGTTCGCGACCACGATGAAGAAGCACCGATAGCACCGATTCTTGCCCGAATCCCTTCATACCGACACGCATAGTACAAGCACGCCATTAGTTTATATAATTCGAGAGTAATTAAAGAGAAAACGGTAACAGTATTTCCACCCTAGCGAGCGGTGCTTTCTTATCGTGCGCCTTTATTTCCTAAACGTTTCTATTTTGGGACCAGAAATGGGCAAAAGAATTTTCATCGATGAACGGCGATGTGCACTCAACAGTCGCTTCTTAATGTAAACTCAAATACTTGTATCCTCTGTTTATATTAATCTTCCACGATTCGAAATTTTGCCCACCTCTGGTTTGGAACCCATCTCGAAGGCGTACACCGTTATCTCCCGAACCAAGTTGCGAAACGAACGTCCATAATGAAACGGATCGACGATCAGAGAGAAAATTAGGACTCGCACGAACGTCCACGGTCTTACATTTTCGACAAATTGCGATAATTCGTCGAGATAAGGGATTTTACTCAGTTTTCGATTGATTCTTCTCAAAAAAGCCACGGTCACCTTGCAATTACGCCAAGAGGAAAGAACGATGTGATTTCGTTCGAACGACGCGACTATGATTTTGTTTTCTAGATAGATAGCTATTCGAAGATGACAGTGTCGAGGATCCACTTGAGGAATTAACACCTTAAACGGGATATAAAATGAAATAACGAAACGTAGGGATTCTTAATGTTGAAATTAACAAATTGTAAATAATATACATAAACGTAAGTTAAATTACTACGGTAAAGAGAGAAGCTATAAATTTATAATTACATAATTAAGAGTATCTACATTTAAAAAAAAAAAAAAGAAAAAAACGTAAAATTTATCGTCACTAAATTGATACTTTGATATTAACGAAATTGTAAAAAAAAAAAAAATATACTTAAACGTAAGTTGAAGAATTACGGTGGTAAACAGGATAGTTTATAAATTCGTAATTCGTAATAATTAAGATAATCTACAGCGAAGGAAACGTAAAATATATCAGAAACGATCGAGATGAAATTAATGTGAATTTTTAAGTTTATTAAATCCCGAGGAAAATGGAATGCATTCGAAAACTGATTAATTCCCATTAGTGACTTTTCTTCGTCAAATTATCGTTGCCTCCAAAGTCTTGAACACCTGTTACAAGGTACACCTTGTGTATGGTCTTTTTCCTCCCAATTGTTTGTCATCCTTTTATTTGCCTCTCTCTCTCTCTCGTCGGCGTAGCCAACGTAGGCTCGTGTTGTTAGCAAAATAATTACCGTTAATATCATATCGGAATCGTAGACGCTGTTACCAAGCAGTTTCTGTAACATTTCTCTATTTTATAGTAATAATTAATATTTCGTCGCTACTGCTGCTGCTGATACCACTATTTTCGTTGATATACCAGAAATGCGTTAGACGTTTTTTATACACTCTCGATTTAACGTTTTTTAGTTATATTACAATATTTAATTTGTTCGTTAGTTATTGTTGTTATTATTATTATTCTTATTATATCATTACCATTATTATTATGTTATTAACGTACGACGATATTGGTTCATTAAGTTTATCAATAACTAGATTGTAATCGCTGAAAACCGGGAACACTTTGTTAACCACCGAAACGATACGAGATTTTTTGTTGTACCCGTGGAGACGTTTCGATCCTTTTAAAAAACATAAAGAAAAAAAAATCGAATCGCGTCTCCGTGGAAGAAAACCAATTGTACAGACGCGAAGATAACGATGCCAAACATTATATATGTATATGCATATACATATATATATATATATATATACCGACACTACTGCTACTACTACTACCGCTGCGATTATTCTCATTGTCCTTATTATTATTTTTATCGCTATTATTAATATGATCACAATTATTATTATTATTATTATTATTATTATTATTAATGAAATATTATCAATCATATTATTCTCAGATTACATGATTTTTTTCGGAATTTCTTTTCAGTTCATCTTCATTTATCGACTCGTCCTTCGTCGTCGCACGCAGTTTGAATCGTTAACCACGACAGTGTAATCTAATGGTATCCTTTTTAGGAACGTCGCCACGAAAAGATAGATTTTCCCGAAATAATTGTTTTAGAATCAGACATCTCCACTTGGAGAGTACCTACGAATTTTGCGAACGATCGAATTCTCTCTTAAAAATTGCATCGAGCCCCAGTCGATACATAGAGCACGCGTGACGTGGATTCACGCAATTCAGCCCCATTCCTTTGCTGGTTGTTTTAGTTTATGCTACACAGAAACGTATGCGTCGCCGCGTCGCATGTGTAGCCAAGGGGATCCCTATTTGTTTCATGTTTTAGTTAGGAAGCGGCGAGACCGAGCTTTATCGACTCGTTGCTAGGCTAATTTCGTGTCCGTTCGGTTTCGTTGGTTCTCGTATCCCATCGACGTAAGGTCTGTTTCATCGTCGCATTATATAACGGTAAATAATCTTGTGTACTTTCCAATAATTTTCTAGGAACGTTCAATAACGTCAAGTTCCAGCAGAGCACTTCCTTTTTGCGAAATTCATAAAAAAAAAAAAAAAAAAAGAAATATAAGGAAAACAAAATGAATGGCATTATGGTTGAGCGTAAAAACGTATCGAGGAACGATCGATGTAAAAAGTCAATTCCTGTTAGCATCGAATTATACGAAAATCGAATATTTCTGTCAGACGTATACATTTCCTAAAAAATCGTCACGGTTGTGCAGGGTTTCCATAATTTTAAAGTTTTTTTTTAGGTTTGTCATATCAATTAGATGCACGAAATTTGTTCGTACGGCCTTCTGGCATGGTGGCCTCAATATGCGTGTAAACTGGCGCCAATACGTGCAGCAAGAGTGGTTCACTCAGGCCCTCCAATTTTGTCAAAGCCTGTAGGACTCGAAAGTCGATGATGCAACAAAATAAAAATCTCGAGAAATGATAACGTTAACGCGATCGCCCTCTACGAATTTTAGGAACTGTTAATTCTGATACTTTAACGACGGCAGTGATTACTCCTGCAGACTGAGAAAATTTGGTAAAGCATCGAGTGAGCAGCCCTGGCGTGCAGTGCCGTCTTAACGTATGGGCTCGGTGGACAGCCCCTATGTTAGTCCACGCAACGTTGTACACATCTAAGTACATGTAGTTATGAAAATTAATGTAAACTTGGATTCGTATCTTTATCTGACCAAAATATTATGTCGTCCTAAAAGTTCATGCCATTTATACTTCTATTTCTCAAATTAATATGTGAAACATACTCTTAAGTGTCACCAGAAAAGATAATCTGTCTCATTTCACAATAGTTTCTCACCTCTCTCAGATAGTCATTATACCGTTACTAGAAGATTTCTGTGGTTTTTTTTTTTTTTTTATTAAATTTCGGCACGAACTTGCGAGACGACCTAATAGATGTAACAAGGGGCCTATATTGTTGTTAAGACGGCCCTGAGTACGTGCACGTGGAAATGCATAACCCGTTATCGATCGCTTAGTTACCGATCGATCCGCTGCCGTGGTAACGGGGGACCTCTCGATCGCGTCGCAGAATCCCGTGATATAACCTAGCGAGCATCGGCCAAAGGGAGTTAGCCTCTAATTTGCGACGACGATGCTATTCCAATCGACAGGATCCCCGTGCTCTCGACACCCTCGGTACTCGTGCGATTCGCGTGTGATGGAAACGCGCAGCGAGGGTCACAAAAGGAACGGGAGGAAAGGGCAAAAGGAGAGAAAAAAAAAAAGAACGAAGGAGAAATCGCATACAAAAGATGGGGAATAATCCCCACGAGGGTCTGGCCGGTGCGATAGAATTCGAATCGCTTTAAAGCAAGATATGCTCATATCTCGCGACCCGTGGCACACTGGAAACGCCCTATCCCCTTTAAGATGCTCGACAGATACACTGTCGCACCGAAAGCTCCTCTTTAACGGAAACCCCTCTGGCTGGTAGAATTTATAGGGGGTGGGGTGGTCGTGGGCTTTAGAACGTAAACCCTCGTTCGTCCCTGTTCTCTCCGCGTCTCTCGCTCCTCTATCCTTCTCTCGGTCTTTTTTCCTCTCTATCTATTCGCATTATCGTTCCCTCGCTTCCCCTTTTCTGTTTACGTTTCATTTTTCGCTTTCAATGTTCCTTTACTCGTGTTCCACCTTTGTTTTGCCCTTCGAGTTTCCTCCAACTTCGCTTTCCTTTTCTAACCTTTTCGACGAATATTTGCGCGTACAAAAATCGTCTGCATTCCCAGTTTTCACCGTTACGCATTTCTCCACCCCCTCCCCATTGTTCTCGCGTTTTCGCTGTTCTTTCGACCTCTCTTTCCATTTCTCCGTCGTGCGCCCGCCTCTTTCCTGCTTCTCTTAAGCCATGGCAGCCGAACGTGTTCCCTTTGGCTACGTATCTCTCCAGTTTCCGTCCCTACCACTCGTTCCTCGCTCTGATCCCAGGCTCTCTCCCTCTTGGTGCCTCGCAACTTCGATCTAACTGGGCAGAGTTAACGCAGGAACGGGCTAGGTACGGAACGCCGGAGCCGAAATCAATTCACTGGCCAAAATTAACGCGCTCAACGACCACTGTGCATCGAGGGTGGCGAATTCACGGTTTAGAGCCACGGAATCTAACGTCGTTGGTGGTTAAAAGCACAAATGTGTACTTGGAAGAAACATGGCGACTTTCTCGAGGCCCTCAGTCTACCATACGATCCTCTCGGGTTGGGTAATATTACATTTTCCCATTGTATATCCTGCTCGTTGGCTACAGGATCAAGCTTTAGAGCTACGTTAGTAGATCTGGATTATGCTCGATTTCATTTTCGTCCTGGAATTTTACATTTACTTTGAAAGAACAAGTCTCTAACAAATTTATTCTAGAGTCGATTTCAAACGAAACATCCGTAGGGTACTCGATTCCAGAGATGGTACTATTCTCTCCTAGGGGGTACAGGTGTGTTTTAAACCAGTGATGGACAAAACCCTAGGCTTCGAATAAATCTGAAGTTTGCCGATATGTTTGTCTCGTTTCCTTCTTTGGAAAATTTTCAAAAGAGGAAACGAGACAAACATATCGGCAAACCTCAGATTTATTCGAAGCCTAGAGTTTTGCCCATCACTGTTTTAAACCTTCGTTTCTATTAACGATTGCAACGATCGATCCCAATGGTTGATACGAAAGAAAACGAAAGCCAGGTACCCTTGTTTGTCCACTTACGGTGCCCCCTTTTCGCACCTCGTCTAATTTACGAGTTGGGTGTATTTATCTCCTCCGTCGCCTATACAGCGCGCACGTAATCGATCCTGCCCGTCGAGGAACAATGGCGACCGAAAGATGTACGCCTTTTTTCTCCCGTTGGCCGCCGAAATGAGAATTTGCAATTCTATCGGGTGAACGTCATGGAGTAGCGTGTACGCCCAGAGCAGATCGATGCGCCAAGCCTGCTTCCGTCGCGTGAGTGCACGGTGTACTCGGTACACGTGTTCGTACCATAGAGATATTATGGATAGAGCAAGGGTAGCTAGATCTCGAGCTTGTACTACAGCTAAAAAGTGAAAGAAGGTCGCGGTACCTTACCTGTCTCTATTTTTCAGTAACTTGTTTACCATTTTATATCATTTTTATGGTAATGATAAATGGTTATCGTTTCTACTTTCAATAATTACATATATATATATATTTTTCATTCGCATTAATAAAAGAGCCAAGTAGGGTACTAAAGATAGATAAGTTTTCCTTCTAACGGTGGGACGTTTTCACATACAGCCAAGCCTACGTCTCCTCTGCTGTATCTAGAATATGTATATGGTTCTATGCTTTACTTCGTCCTAGTCAATTGAGAAATGTTTGCTCCATGATTAGCGCAAAACGTCTTCTATCAAGCGTGTAGTACAGTAAAATTTGGACCGTCGGTGCTGTATGTGGCAAAATCGATAACCATTTTCTAAATAAATAATCATGTACAACAGGAATTAATACGTCATTAGGTTCTGATGATCGAAATTTTATTGTACACGAAACTGCACGGTACTACGCGTGTAAAGTACTTGATCACTTTAGAGTTTTGGATATAACATACAGGACGTATCATGAAAACTGAAAGAGATAATAAGGTGTCCCGTTCTTGGACGTCGTTAAACTGATGAGAAAATTTCACAAGGAAGACAGGAAGGAAATACATTCGTCGATCGCAAACGTGTACAGCTTGGGTTTTACGTAAACGTCTGAGATGATGACACGCAATCAAATACGTAGCAGAAAATAGTATCGATACGCAGTCGCGATATTTTTGTAGTACAATAACGTTGTATTTTCGTTCGACGTGGAAAGTCGATAAATCGGGATAATAGTCTTTAGTTCCGTTACAATGCGATTAGTGATCGCTAATATCATCCGTGGCGTCGCGAAGGACGTAGAAACAGGGCCGTCTCAACAGCGTCATGGACCCCTGGGCAAATCGATACACTTTAGAACCGTTATTCGTACAACTCGCAGAATTATACGTTCGAATGTTCACATTATCGAACGCTTTCAAATACCGCGAGAACCAAGCGATTATTTTAAGGTTGTAAACAACAAAAATGGCAAGATCAAAAATTCATTTTTCGCCCTCACGATTCGCTACAGCTATTACTCACGAAAAATCGGAATCCTATATCGATCACCATGTTCTAATACTATTTAATACCTCACGAAATCGAAGATACGCGTAGCTATATTAGTCATTGTCGGGGCAAACGAGGCAACTATCATTGTTATATATATATATTCGTATTATCTTTACAAATTGTCGCTTGAGGTTGCCCTAATTGCGAAACGATGATCCTTCGGAAGAAATGAAATGTAGGACGTAAGTTCATGTACATGTGTATACCACGATACAATGTACAAAAAGCAATATCCACACTTCGTATATATACATATATGCATATGTAATTGCTATTACATATATACATATATATATGTATGTATATATATACGTACACGTACAAAATACACAGGCACATATGTACACACGAGATACGTAAAAAGTACACATACCTACTTTTGACTAAATCGCAGTTTATCGTAATGTACCCACTCGATTGTAAATTTCGGTAGTACACGTGCTTTGTAAGATTGTAAGTGATGTGCATATGTATATACAGGGTGAAGAAAAAAAAAAACGCGAAAAGAGAGAATCGACGAACAAAACGTTTAGAACAAAATTATTGTCCGGTGGAATAATGTGTCTTATATATGGCAAATAGCGAGAAATCGATATTTCTCAAGGGAGACTCGAGATCGATTGCGAATAATAGGTGTGTTCCTCTTATTTAGATGGAGTAAAAGTGTAATAGTTTCATAATTACCTGACAACAAAAAAATACAAAACGATATAGATTACAGAGTCACGAGGTCTGCTTTGTCTTGTTATAATCAAATACTTTATATTATGTAGTACAGGTTGTCATTAAACGTATGAACAAACCTATATCATTAAAACCTTTTTAATTATCGAAACTATTGCGTGAAATACTTCGTGTTTTTTCTCATACTTCGTTCCATTGGCTAATGATGGATATTCATTGGACAACAGAAAGGCTGACACGATACGGTAAGTGAAGGATGTTTTATTTTTAATGAAAAAGGCTGAGGATTCTTCTGCAATATTTCATATATTAGATTAAAATTTGTTTTCGTTACACATGTTTACAATTTGTATATAATGTTTCTTTTTTATGTAAATTTTTATGTACATGAAAATGATACAAAATCAACGAGTTTTTCTTTCAAATTTCCTGACTTACATATCGAAAATTTGTAATGCATTAATGGCATGGAATGTCCCTTGAAAACTGTAAATTTGCTTATTAAAATGATAATCAAATCAATTTTAAACAATTGTAAAAAATAGTATATTTATGATAGACTTTGGATATGTTTAATCTTTAATAAACAGATCAACAAATTATTTCTTTTAAGTATCATAACTTTTGACTAGATACAATAAAACTGTTCTTTCTGTACTGAAAAGCAGTCTTCATATATTTTACAGTTTCGGCCAAATGTAAGCATTCAATTTTAATACACAATATAAAAGAATGTATCAAAAAAAACTTAGCACTTGTATATTCTAATCAATTTCCACGGATTATGCACAAAAGAAAGCGTAATAAATTAAAAATAAGCTCTTAATAAAAGGTTCTGCAGTGCCCAACAGTATTAACATACAACGATAAACTACATCAAAATTACCAAGAAATTACACCTAGATATCATTAAATAGAAAATATACATATTTTTACTCAAATGAAAATATAACTTTTTTCGAGGTGACAATTCGGTGATCATGTTATAACTTCTGCGTATTTAATATATGACATTTAAGTTGGTATTAGTACCTTATATACGATAAATCTCTTGAATAATAATCTTCATATTTTTAATACATGCATGTGTTACTCCGTTTTTTTTTTTTACTATGTAAGTACAAGTGTACTATTTTTACGTACTTTCAATTTGCAATTTTCCTTTGTTGATTATGGATAGTTAACCTCGCTATTTCTTCGCCCAGGGTGTCAATATTATCCTACAAGAACAATATTAAACGTCACAAGAAAGATACACGCGTTGATCGATGTTACTTTACCTTTAAGGTAATATTTTTAAATAACGCGTCTTCGAGAACAGCTTGCAACTTTTGATTTATTTCTAACGATAATTCCAGCGTCATATTATCATCCGAAACACGTTGGTTGTATACTGAGGCCATTATTCCCCCGTGTCTCGCTAATTCAGCCTGTGATTGAACAATCATTAAAACGTAAGTTACTAATCGATCGCCATCTTGTTAGGACTAATGTAATTCTTCGCGAGACGATTTAAAACTTTTATTACTAAACTTACTGCATTTCTCCTGCTTTTGATATGCTTGTGCGCAGAAAATAAAACATAGTCGATGATTCTAAATACTAGAGTTGAGTCTTATACTAATAATGTGCTCAAAAGAACATCCTGTAGTTTAAAATGTTGATTTACCTTATATTTATCTCGCTCGTTGTTACCCATGGCACCAGTATTCTCATGTAAAATATAAGTTTGTATGATTCTCGTCTTTTTCTGTAACTCTTCGACGAGGGTTCGGGTATGTTCTTCGAAAAAGTCTAGTTTCTCTGCTTTTTTAGCATTATCTTCTTGCAACTTTATAATACGATCTATTAACGTTTGTTTACTAGGTTCCATAGATTGAATGCTTTGGTCACCATTGATACTGTTATCGGATAAGGCACCATTTAAAGTATCTCCTAAAAGAAATACAAAGCGTAAATGAAATTAAGCCAATGAACTATATACGAGGAATTAAAAACTAAACATTTGTAAGCGACAAAATTATTATATGCTTAAAAAACCTGTATTAAGTGATATACTTGATCCAGTCCTGGACGCGATGCCCAGTGAATTGTAAGGCGATGATGTCTCGAAAGCTTCTAGCTTCTTTCGACACTGTTGTAATTCTCGTGTCATCTCTTTCATACTTAATTGCTGTTTTCTCTTGAGCACAGCGTTTTCCCCTTGACTGTCTTCCAATTTCTGAGCAAGATTTTGGGCTAGTTGAGTCTGCTCAGCAAGATGTCTAGCTAGTATCTCGCACTCTTCTATTCTCATTTTTTGTTCTTTCGCAAGACTCTCTTCCAGCGTTTTAATTTTGCCAGTTAAATAGCTTATCCGCTCGTGTAGCGGCCCATGATTTTCTTCCAGATGTTTGACCTTTGCTTCGATAGCCGTAAATTCCGACTGAAGTCGTACGTTTTTGTCTGTTAATTTTTGCGTAAAATCTAACATATCAGCTTCCTTCTGACGACACGCGGACATGTCAGCTTGTAATTCTTCGTTAGCTAAACGCAAGTGTTCCATTTCTGATTCGATCGAGTCCAAGCATTGGTTTTTCCTGAATAAAACAAATTAATTAATAAAACGAAATCACGATTTTGTAGCGACGATACTTACTGTTGCAACTGCACTTTCAATGTTTCCAACTCCGATACTTTACCGTGCAACTCTATAATTTCTTTCTGACGTTGATCAGCTAGAATTTTCAAGTTATCCAGATTACTCTCGCAGACTGAACGTTTTTGTTCTGTATCCTGTATCTTTAAACTGAGCGTGTTATTTTCTTCGATCAAGACTTGTTGTCTATGCTTCAGGGTCTCCACTTCCTTTTGTAATTGAAGCCTCAGCATTTCTTTATCTTCCGTAACGTGTCTTTCTAATATTAGGCGTGCTTGTTGTTCTTTTAATTGTTGATCCAACGTGACTGCTTTATTTTCCTCTGACTGTTGGAATTGACGCATCGATTCCTGCGTCTCTTTGCGTATCTGTTCGCATTCCTCTTTCATTTCGCTGATTCTAGTCTGAAAACAAGGTAAGATAATATCGTGATTCGTATACAAATAATTATGTTATAATGAACTATGTCTTCTTCAAATATTATTACTGTGGCTTTATCCAGTTTTTGTTGAGTTTCCTTTTGCAAGTCCATTTCCGTTTTGAGTTTGTTTTGAGTCCATTTTAATTTGATGTCTCTCATATTTACGTCCTCCTTCAATTTTTCAACTTCTTTTTGGAGCTCAGTTACTTCGCGACATCGTCCATCCAAAATATTACATATCCTCGTTCGTTCTCCTTGCATTTCGCGTAGTTTACTTTGAAGCAATTCCTGTTGTTTTCCGCTTTCTTTTGCTTTGCGTTCTGCGTATTCTCTTGCCCTAATTATAAATGTAATAAAAAATTAGGACGTTCTAGAACGTAAAATACACACATATATATGTATGTAGAGAATCGCTTAACTTTTTAAACGTTGAATAGTTCTCAAATCAACGATCATATAGAAACATGTGATAGTTTATTCAAGATCCATTTAATACATAAAGTTAGGCGATTCAACTCGTACAACAAAATTTTATTATACCTTTGAGTATCGATCAGTTGCTTCTCGCTAACTGCATATTTCATTACCATGCTTTCTCTCTCTTTATTAGCGGCATTATATTCTTTTTTAAGCGTCTCCTGTGTTGCTAACGACGTATGTAGTTCGAACGTAAGTTTGTTTATCGTTTTCTCTAAATTATCAATTTGTACAGAATAGATTTCTCCCTTATTTTCTGCTTCTAACATTCGATTTCTTTCTTCCACGTATTCGACTTTCTCTTGGAATTTTAAGTACTTAGTTTTTAAATCTGCGTAATCTTTTAATAAAGTGAGGTATGCTGGGTGTTTCAGTAAACTCAGTTTCAAATTTTCAGAAGAATTGTTGTTGCCCTCCGAAATTATTACCATGGAATCGGTATCGGTACAATTCCCGTTCGCTTCCATGCAGAGTACGTTATCGTTCTGTTCGTTACTTTTGTCAGTAATAGGTGCTTCAACTTGATTTGTGTTATTTTGTATGCAATCGCTAATATCATCGTTATTCTTATCATTCTTTTCAGTATTAACGTGTGTTTCATCATGTGTATTTGTAAGAGTTATTTTATTTTCAGAATCCTTTGTACAACTATCTCTTTCATTCTGCAGACCCATGGAACTTTTCGATGGATACAGGATAGCGTTCGTTTTATCCATTAAGTTTGATTCGGTTCGAAACGTTGGTTCCTTTAATGGAGATTTGGTACTACAAGGTTCTTCCACGTATTTTTTTTCGTTATAATTATCTATAGACTTCATTACCGAATTATATTTTACAGTTAAATGTTGCGGTAGCAATGCTTTCTCCATTATGTTTGTCGATTTTTCTGTAATGAAGTTTAAGAAATTGCGGCTCTTGTTCAGGAACTGGGCATTGGATTGCATTATATTAATTGGATTCGTTGGCAGTGAAATTTTAACCAATTTACTATCGTCAGCCAAAGTAGGACGAACTATTATGTTACTCTGTGATCTGGTATTTTCAATGGATTGGGATTTTTGTTTTGAATCATTTGTAGGATCATTAAGTTCCATCAGTTTGTTACTCATGTTAGAATTCTGTACTACATTTTCTCCTGTGTGAAGAGCATTTTGAATCTCATTTTGAATAACATTTTTCTCCAAGAAATGTGTTTGCTGAGTATCCATGTATAATTTGGTACTGAAAAGTGTTTCTTCATCTTCGTTGCATACTGCTATTGATTCTTCATGCTCACTTCTTGGTTGTCTAACATTATCAGAAACAGTATTTGATAATCTAACATCCCCATAGGAAGATGATTTAAGAAGTGGTTTTTCTTTCAAAAGGTCTGCATCCTTAGACAATGTTTGACATTTTGAAAAATCATTCGACAGATCACTTAAAGAAGTAGAACTTTTAATAGGCAAAATAATACTGTTTTCTTCTATCAAAAAGCTAGACTTCCCATTGTTATTTACTAATACTGAATCTGTTTTAGTTTGAGCGACTTGTTCCAGTTTCTCCTGAACCGAAGTAGTATCCTTACTGATTTTTACATCAGACTGAATTAGGGAGTTGGTGACTAAAAATATTGTTGAAACAGAAAGTAATATTAAAAACTGTTATAAATTTAACGATATCAAACAACTGTGATACATTTCTATCTATAATTAAAATGTCTCGTACCTTCTGCGAGAGAGACGTCTGGTGTTATGCTGGAATCAATTTGATCGAGATTTCCTGAAAATGTCTCATCTTTAGAGCACGATTCTGACTTCTCTTCGTCCATCTCAGAAAGTGTAAATTCCATTTGTTTAGGGTCAACTTAGCCCTATTTCATGGTGCTGTAATTTCCAGAAAAAGTCATTGGTGTCGGAGATGTTTGTTGACTTTGAACAAACTCACAAATACAACATTGGACGACATTCGCGTAAACGAAGATTAAAACCAAGGAAAATAACCTAAAATCGAGGAAACTTCAGCTGTCATTATGCGTGGTGTTTTCAGCCATTGTCTGCGAACATGATGTTTTATTGCTTCATCCAAAAACATTGGTCTAGATTTCAGCTGACTGATTCTGTTAGTATTTAGTATAGTTCAGTCGATTTAATTAGATGGCGCCAATTGGTTGTTTTAAAAAATAAATAAGTAAAAGGTTATATATCCTACAAAAAATTAGTAAACAAGCATTGTAATACTAAAATATGAATGAGAATAATTTTTTAATCCTTGAACCCTTTATTTTTTTTTTAAATAAACAAATGGCGCCATCTAGCATTTACAGTAGGAACTAATCGAAGACAAACTTGAGCGTTTCCCGATAGAGGGGTTGACCAAACTTCTAAAATTAGTTCGGGTGTTGACCACCAGATGGTGATTACATCGAAAAAAAATTAATTTTAATAAATATTATTTATTTCGTTTAATAATGACTTTCCGACTATATTACAGGCATTATGATGTTATAATTCGTCCGACAAAATATTCCTTGACCTTTACGTCCTTCAACAGCTTCAAATAAACTTTTCATGTGTTCAGTCCAGTTCAGTCCATTCATTACTAGATGTTACCAGATGTTACCAGATGTTACTAGATGATATCACATGCGCTGTGTGAGCACGTGAATTGTATCATTTATAATTTTCCTTATATCCACGTGTGTAAATGGACATATTTTGAACCCATTGTTTTGATTGCAAAGTTTCCATTTAAACAAGATACTTCGATACTTAGCTTCTTAAAAATGTCAAACATACCGATTCGTAACATAAATAGACTGTCACGATTGTTTCAACCGGTAGTTTCGACACTACCGTCGAGTAATACTCAAAATCCAAAAAATGTTTCGCAAACTTGCGAGGTATATTGATATGTCGTTAATAGTTCAATGAACCCTTTCATTATTTCATTTATACTTCTTCAACAGATCGTCCAATTTTTATATTATAGAATCTCATCAAATACGGATTAATCAAACCAGTTAATAATGGTATGTACGCGGTTCTACCTCTGGGACTGCGTGTTTTAAATAAATTGATAAATCTCGTTGAAAATGAGATGGAGACCATAGGAGCGCAAAAAATATCGCTACCAGCTTTAACATCTACAGCTTTATGGAAACGAACAGATAGATTTGAAAGTAATCAGTCTGAATTATTTAAAGTACAAGATAGACACAATAAGCAATATATACTTAGTCCAGTGAGTGACCATCTACTGTTAAATGAATAATTGATAAGCATTAAATTTAACAGTAGAGTAGCAGTCCTTATTTGTAACTGTGCAATTATGCATATACTTTAGATGAACTTACCTATTTTATTATAGACATACGAAGAAACAATATGTGATTTAATAGCATCAGTCGGAGGTTTATCTCCAAAAGTCCTACCATTAAAATTATATCAGATTTCTAATAAATGGAGAGATGAAATGAAACCCCGCCTTGGATTTTTGAGAAGCAAAGAATTCGTCATGAAGGATTTATACACATTTGACACAACTTTGGAGAATGCACAGGAGACTTATGAATTGATATGCAATGCTTATGACAATATATTAAAGAAAATAGGCATAACATTTAAAAAAGGTAATAATACAAATAATGCTGTATATCTGTTGTTACTATTATTAATGTTCACAGCTATTGGTGACACAGGAACAATTGGAGGTTTGATATCCCATGAATATCACTATGCAACCAATATTGGAGAAGATATTATTTGTTCATGCTCTTCTTGTCAGTACAGCATTAACAAAGTTGTATGCAATGATTCGCATTGCCCTAAATGTAACAACACATTAGTAGAACAACATACTGCAGAGGTAGTAGGATAAATACATATTAATTTTACTATTACATTCTGAATAAATGGTCATTTTTCGTTAAGGTGGGACATACGTTTTTATTAGATACAAAATATACAAAACCCCTGAAAGCTGTATACAGAATGCACAATCATAAAGTGTTACCATTAGCAATGGGCTGCTTTGGACTTGGCTTGAGTCGCATTTTCACGGTCGCGGCCGAAATATTGTCTACCAACGATGAACTGAGATGGCCAAAATGTATAGCACCTTATACCGTGTGCGTTATACCGCCAAAGGTATCATATTCTATGTAACATTTTTTAATGTGGTCATTAATTACATAATTAAGTACAATTTGACTTTACAGACTGGTAGCAAGGAAGATCCCGCATCTCAGTACATAGACCACATACTAGGAATTTTAAATCAATTAAATATCGACGCCGTACTCGATGACAGAACGCAATTAACTATTGGAAATCGTTTTATACTTTCTCGCATAACTGGATTTCCTTACATTATCGTAATCGGTAGATCAGCCATGAAATCACCACCATTGTTCGAAATTCATAATATAAATGACTCGACAAATTGTGAAATAACTTTAGAAAGTATACACAATTATTTTAATACTGAAATTAACAAAAGTTAAAGATTTCGTAAAAAAATTAAATTTAATACATGTATAAAAGAAATAAGTGTTTCTTGTATATACTTGTTATTTATTGTTTTTTAATGAAATAATCGTAAAAACAAACTGAGTAAATGTAATGTTGGCAACAGGTTTATAATATTCACCTCTAATTACGAAACGTAGATATAAACAAAATCATAAAACTAAATTACAATCGCATCATTTACGAATAAGAATTTTCTCTCGTACTTAGGAGCTTAAATTGTTTTCAGGAGTTCAATGCTCCAATTTAACTTTAACTCTGTGATACGCGTTACAGAGGAAACCTCGTAAATTCCAAATATTTTTGAAACTTTCCGGTTGAACATTGTACGACGCATCCACAGCTTTTGCCCAAATTTCTGTTTCTTTAGAATCTTTTTTAACAGGAAGATCCACGTTCCACAGCGTCCAGCTCCAGTAACGACCTTGCTTAGCATTTGTATCTTCAGCATCTAAATTCGCAGTGTGCCAAGTTTTACCTTGATCGTTCGTTATATCGACGCGAATCGTTTTACGGCCACCTCCTGACCATGCGTATCCTATCGAAAAATTAGGTCGAATCGTGAAAAGGGGGAAGCTGAAATCCTCTGAACGTTTTCAAGATAATATTTTACCTTTAACATTTATTTTCCCATTTTTTACTTTAACCGTTTCTGATGGTTCTGGTTTACAAATCGCAGAAATCACAGGCATTTCCTGAATAGCAGGTGCCTTAGAAAAGTCCACGTTATCCCAATCGATGCTAGGCGAGAAGCCCTTGTAATCGCCTCGTTGCCATTGCGAATGGCTTTCTTCTTTCGAGATGATTATTTTGCCTATGAATTTATAACATGAGTAACGAAATTATCCTTTGTTAAATTATAATTAAAAGAGTAATTTTTTTCTATTAACTACCAAGCCATTTCACATTCCTAGCTCCTACAACGCCAGGGACGATTACTCGAATGGGAAAACCATGGTCTCTTGGTATCGGTTGTCCATTCATTTCGTAAGCTAAGATTACATCAGCTCTAGGATCCAAAGCCCTACTAATAGGTATACTCGCACCGTATGGTGTACCAGAAGGGTCTAAATCGTATCCTTCGAACTGTTTGAATTAAATACAATTTTTAACAAATTATTTTTCATTAGGATTTTTAGTATATTAATACTGCCACAAATTCTGGAACACTGTGTACATAATAATACCTGTACATGATCGTAATTGTCTTCATTAATCTCTAAATCTTCAAGTACATCGCACAGCCTTGCACCAGTCCATGTAGCATTGCCTACAGCACCTACACCCCAACTAAGCCCTTTCAATTGTTTCTCCTATAAGTTAGCGTACAATTATTATGAAATTATGTTTTCTTCTAGTTACAGAGTAAAGCAAGGTTTACCTGTGCCATTTCAGATCGTCTATTTCCACCACACATCACGGCACTTGTTATAGTGTACTTCGGATATTTTTTAATATCTTCAAAACGGAGAGTTTTTCGTGTTTTTTCCTCTACAGCTACTTCTAAAACGTATGTTTTCAGGTCTACCTCTGGAACAGGTAGATGATTCCTAACATAAAACAATTCTCTACAACAGAACAATATTTTTTGTACAATTTTTCTGCTAAACAAAATACTTGAAATTAATTTTCGAATTGAATGATAATTACGTTGGTGTGATAAAGCTTTCAACTAATAAAGAAGGAGGTGGTTCAGCACAGAAGGGTTTTGGGCCATTAATTTTCAGAGCTCTGTGTCTAGTAGGTTCCTTTGCATAGGGATCATTTTGATTATCTTTATTGGAGACTGCATCTTCTTTAGAAATGTTTCCAATTCTCATTGACTCTAACAGCTCGTATATTTCTGGAGCATTGTGATTAGCAAAGATTGTCCAAAATGGTTCAATAGAACTGCCAGCAGCCATTATTATCTTCGAAGAACCACCTGGATGTTTTTCAATAAAATCTGTTATATCATACACCCCTTGCTTGTATGTAACCCATACATGTGCCTCTTTATTATCATGTTTGCCAACTTCTTCCAAAGTATACATCTTTAAACCTTTCTTGAACTCTCCACATTGTACATTTTTCTTATTCAATGCATGAACTTCTTGAAACTTATAGTAATAGTATAAACCTAATATCGATGTAGCTATAGTAACATATGCTGCACATTTTCTATAAGGGATGTCCTTAAACGTATCTTTCTTTGTCTGTCTTCCTTCATTCCAAAATGAATGCTGTCTGCATGTCTCAACATAATACTGAACATGAACTCTTGATACTCGTGATGCAGATCTGAAATAAATGTTTTATTGCTTATATTGTTCTAAATGGAGTGATTTAGTCCTTGAGCTGGAATATTCTTTTCACTAATTTTAATATTAATAGGAGAAAAATTGTAAGCATTGGTTGAGTTTTAAATCCATGTCTTTGATAGTTTATAAGGAATTAAGTTGTAATTTTTATGAACATGCATTGAAATGATAGGATTATATTCAATTTAAAAAATTAAATAAATATACTTGTTTCTCAAGTGGTGTAAGATCCTGGAATATGAAACCATGGCGCCAAATTCTTAAATCTGATTCAACAATCAAAACAACGTAGCACTAGCATTGGAAAATGCGTTATCATACGAGTTAAAGGAAGCACTCGTCTTAACGTTCGTATAATGTTTTAACTTTTAACGTTTCTTTCGATTGAGAAACTGTACGTTGTATGTTATCAGGTCGTGTAAGTAAAGGTCACGATCTATTTTGATTTTATTTTTTGCAAAATTGTTTTCGAACGGATACAATCGCAGAAAATATGTACTGTTTACCGACGATTTCGTCGATAATGGCTCCTTACCATACCCCTGCAACGGTGTTTTTGTAAATCTACGAATTATTATTTTTTCTTTTCTCAGCGTCTAGTCATTTTTTCAACGAAATCTTCCAAAAATTTCAAGCACAACGAATAGTATAGCTTAAACCAACGCTTACAACTTCTTGAATAAGTAAAAGAATCTTATAAACTATGTCAAGGAATTACATGCTTTATTAGTAAGTGGATACTTATTATTTATATTCCTGATATCTTTAAGTATCTTTGTATCCTTTTTACAACAAAATCATATCAGATTTATACGATTATCTTACGTAATAAAGTCTTATCTGTTTGATTAAAATAATGTATATACAATGTGACTACAGAGGTTATGTTGGTACACAAGAATTATACGAAGTTAAAGTACATAAAAATATTGAATAGTATTAAGTATGCTTTTTAAATATCGTATAATTCGTTGTTGTTGGTAATATTTTTGTGACCGTCATTTGTATTTATTTGATATAAATAATTCTAAATACTTATGACTGCTGTCACATAGAAATGGATTTATAGGTAAAGGAAATGAAATAAGAGGAATAATCATAATGGCAATGGCAATGAGAAAAAGGAGCGGATCAGGCTCCAAGAGACAACATAAAGGAAAACTTGTACCAATTTATGAAAGTTTTTTTAAGGGAGAAGACTTGACACTAGCTCATCCAAATTTTTGGAATGAACTGTTTTTAATTAAACCCATGGTCAGTATTTTTATATAAATTTTTATGTACATTAAGTATGTTATATTTATTATTAAAACATTATACATACTCTTATACATACATTTTTTAATCCATTTGATAGAAAAATCATTTGTAGTGACTACCAGCACTGCTGAAACTTATGTATAATTTAAACACTCTCAATGTTACACATTAGATTTCATTTTATTATATAAATATAAAAGGACAACAAATTTTTCAAAACATTTTCATACTTGTAGAGAATTAATACAGTACAAATCTGGAAACTCTTCTGGTCTTCTTTCATTGGCATTTTTTTTTATTATTGAGCATGTTTCATCTGTTGTAGAATTATTTGTTGAGAAAAGCATAATCTTATGAAGTTGTTAACTGCTAGTAAAGATTATACCTTTCCCTGCTTCTTTTTTGTATAGTCCTCATGCATAGGGTAATTTTTGTTTTCTGAACATTTTTCGTTCTCTTGTCCTTTGTTTGTTTTTGTAGTTGTTACAAATTCACCAGCAATATAAGAACTTTTTACATTATTGCACGATGATTCGGCGGATTGTTGCTTTTTTTGTAATTTTTGTTGTTCATTTTTATCTAAACCAAATATTTAAGTAAAACCATAAATGCATGTATCAATTAATAAGTTCAAAAAAAACTGGTAAAGCACATCTTCTTGTGATACATACTTTTAGATTCAACAGCTTCTTTGCATTCTAATTCATTCTGAAGACTACCTGGCATAAATTTGCATTTGAAGTTAAACCATGCCTCGCTTGTCTGAACTTTATATTTCAAACATTTTAATTGATATATACAGACTCTTCCATAATATTTTGTTACTTCCCATGTTGGCAATGACTGTAAGATTATGTATATTTTATGTTCAGCTATAATAGTAGCTTTTTAAAACATTATAGGAGTTCTAAACTTACTTGTATCAATTTAGTAACAAATTTACCAATCATGATGGTATTCTATTCTCTAAACTTTCAAAACTTGAAGTCATAAGTTAGTAGTATCATTTTTTAATGTGGAGGAATTTTTTGCAGTTAACCAAATTGAATGTAAATCCTCAGTAAACCAAAATTTCTTGTTCATGAGAAAAGAAACAACTGTCAAAGAAAATAACAAATGAATTGGAATGATTTATTATGTACCCTGTGTTTAAATATGTACATAAATCATTTCTACATGTGAAGGCAAACCATACATGCTCTGTTTTTATCTGTTAGGTTCCACATATCGAAAGTGAGATTTTGCACATGACAGGGGAACAATTAAATGCAAGTAGAGAAAATTTGAATGCCTTGGTCTGCCATTGCGTGGATACACTGGTCGACGAACATCCGTTCAGGGTTGTATATGCTTTACAAACTTTAGCAGCTGTTATTCAATCTATGTATAAGAAGGCTAGTCAAGGTGACTGTGGATTTAACTTGATAGACATTTTAGTCGGATTCGATTCGGCAGAACAAAGAATGACAACATTGATGCAGCACTGCAATAATTTTTTAACAGGTACATTTCATGTTATACATATTACAAATAATCGATTCATTTATGTTAAAAAATCAAAGATTCAAATATACGTTTAACATTTGAATTTTTCAGTTTTTCAAAACATTGTTTATACAAATTTTCCACAATTCCAGGTGAATACCCTGATAGCTTAAAAGCTTTGTGCTTGAAATTGTTGTTAATTATAGTAACTGGCATGGACAATGTTAGTCAAAACACTTTGTTGGAATATGTTATGCTTAATAGTGTTTTTGAATCTCTGGTTCAAGTAGGTGTTAAATTGGTATGAGTATTAATGCAATGTTCAAAAACATATTTCAAACGAGGCATTAACATTTTATATTTCTTGTTTGTACAGTTGCTGAGAGACACAGCAGCTAGAAATCGTCACGGCCATGACGCAGTCTTACTATTAACACTCCTGGTCAATTACAGAAAGCATGAAAGAGCAAATCCTTATATCGTTAAATTATCAATCTTGGACGATGAACTAGCTCTGAACGGATATGGTCAAGTAATATCTAGTTCGTTGACAGATTTCTGCAGACAATTCGCTCAACAAAGAGCAGGTACAAAATATTTAGCAATATCGTACTTATTACAAATACAATAATAACAAAAAAAAAAAAAAAAAAAACATGTAGAAATACAGGCATCCTGGCTATCCTCTTTGACCAGTATAGTAGGAAGCATGTTTGTCGGAGAAGAGGAAGCGAAAACGCAACAAGTTCGTGCCAACAATGCATTGTTATTAGCACTTTACGAAGCGACACACTTGAATCGTAATTTTGTAACGACTTTAGCTTATACGCAAAGCGATACTAGTGCACCACCCTCTCCGAATAATACATTAGGACCTAACGCGGTAGCTCCAGGAGCACAAGTACCCGATGTAATGGCTCAGCCATTCAATTTATTGGCTACTTTCTTACAGTATTGGTGAGAAGCTACATTTTTTAAATTGTACACAAAATTCTTCTATACAGACAAACGTGTCGCGTTCTTTTCATTACAAAGCGTTTTCATCGTTTCAGTTCGATAGTTATGCAAGTGATCAGAACAGAAGCAATAATGAATAATGTTAAATTGTGCTTCCTTATATTGAGCTGCATCGCAGAGGATCAGTACGCGAATAGTTTGATGCACGACGCAAATTTGGCTTTCAGAGTACAACTTCATCGTGTACCAATGCATCATAGGAAGATACAAGACAAAGTAGCACCTGCGCAACCACTGGCTGCTACATTACTCGGTATAGTCATTCTAACGAATAAATGATTATTCGTTACCTCAACAACCATACAGATATTCTATAATAATTATTATGAAATTGTAGATTTACTCGTCGAGTTCATTACGTCGCACATGATGAAGAAATTTCCGCTTGAACTGTATCATCAATGCATTGGGGTTTTACAAAGGTTGCTTTGTTACCAAAAGAGATGCAGAGTTAGGCTTGGTTATCAGTGGAGGGATCTTTGGACAGCGTTGATTAATTTACTTAAGTTTTTAACGACGCACGAAGGCCATCTTATTAAAAAAATGAATATCTTTCCATTAGCTATTCAGGTAAACGAATGCAACACAAGTTAATAAGAATATATATGGAAGGAATCAATTTCGATGTTGTAGGTCGTTAATATCTTAAATTTGTTTATCACGTATGGTGATACATTCCTGTCTTCTCCGAGTAGTTACGACGAATTATTTTATGAAATAATACGGATGAGGCTTATTTTTACAAATTTGAATGCCATGGGTATGTAGACAACAAATGGTTTTATATAATGCTATTGTTACGTATAACAATAAAATTTATGTTTTCAAGCACTACGATATTCAACATGCGAATCTTACGAGTATAAAGAACACGCGTTAAAATTAACAAACTGTTTGGTGAATATGAGAGACATAGTGAATCATTTTCCACCAAAAATCGCAGCGTGGTTGGCAAGCGAAAGTCTGTCCACGCCAACGGAACAACAAATTTTGGCGATCATAATACAAAATTACGATAGCCTTACTTTGAAGTTGCAAGATAATTTGGATCAGTACGAAAGATATTCTGAGAAACCCGATCACGTTACATTCTTTGAGGAGATGGTAATATTTCATTAACAGATCTCAGAATGTTTCATATTTATGGTAATGTTTAATCTTGATTTTTCAGGTAACTGGAGTTGTAATCGACACCAGAGGCTCGATAGATTTAAGTGCATTAGATACACAGGCTATATTACAAGAATTATCGAATATTTCGTAACACAAAATCAACGTGAAGTACGAATCAGATCCTGTGTATCACTTTGTTATTATGATGTATCATAATGTATTTTTTTTAATACAGTCAGCTTTGTATGCGTTTCCTTTTGATATTGCAGAGAACATAGCTCATGGAATTCAGAAGTTTCACATTGTAGTGTGTTTCATTATTGCGTTATATTTCTATGAATTGTGTATACAAGGTTTAAAGAGTCATTAAAATTTAATAAGTATTGAGTTTGTAATTTTCACAAATCCTAGTTTATTAAATGATGAAAAAGACATAAGTCCTATATTTTTTATTGTCCCAATTATTTTTCATATATATAGAATAATAATTACAAATTTGTTGAACATTTTTTTGCAAGAATTGCAACACCTGCTTTAGATTGATTCTTCCTTTGAAGCTGACTACTAATGAAATCTCCAATTTTGGCTATTTTGTTAAGGTTTACTCCAGTTTCTAAACCTTGTCCATGTAGAAAATAAAGCAAGTCTTCGGTAGCAACGTTTCCAGAAGCACCAGCTGCATATGGACAACCTCCTAATCCAGCAACAGATGAATCGAATACCCTTATGCCATATTCGAGACTAGTCAAAATATTTACCAGAGCTTGCCCATATGTGTCATGACAGTGAATTGCAAATTCACTCATGTCATTTGAAACATGTTTCAATTCATGTAGTACTTTCTTTATTTTATCCGGAGTTCCTACACCAATGGTATCTCCTAAAGAAATTTCATAGCATCCAAGTTGTAACAAGAATGTGCTTACATTTGCTACCATTGTTGGCTTAGTTTCACCTTCGTAAGGACATCCAGCAATGCAGGATATGTAACCTCTGATTTTAATGTCGTGCTTCTTTGCTTCTTCAACAACTGCTTTAATGTTCTTCATAGAGTCATTGATGGAACAATTTGTGTTCTTTTTTGTAAAAGTTTCAGACACAGCACTAAAGACAGCTATTTCTTTCACACCCACTTTCAGTGCACCTTCTAAGCCTTTTAAGTTTGGTACTAGTACAGGATAAGAAGTCCCGTGTACCTTATTAATATTTTGAAAAACCTGAACATTATCTGCCATTTGTGGGACCCATTTTGGAGACACAAAACTGGTCACTTCTATACTTTTTAATCCACTTTCCGATAATCTATTGATAAAATCAACTTTAATCTCAGTAGACACTATGTTCCTCTCATTTTGTAATCCATCTCTGGGCCCAACTTCAACTATTTTTATAAAATTGCTAGACTTCCTTACACTTTTAATAGAAAAATTCCGTACATTAAAACTAAGTTTACTAATAAGTTTAAACATTTTAATGACTAATGTACCAAAATTATTCTTTGTCGTATACTACAGAATAAGATCTAGTTGCAATATAATCGGTAAATTAAATATTATTCTGTTAATTCACAAAAATAACAGCTTTTGAAAATTGTAATGTTCAAGATCTTTAATTTTTGCAAATAAATTCAGTATACTCGTAAATTATACGAATTCGATCTATCGTGATTATTACTGCTTATAAAGCGTAATTATTCAGGGGAGATAAGACACAGATAAAGTATCATAGTAAACAAGCAAAGTATTCGTAACGATCGTTTGAAATTGCATGAAAACGAAAAAAATATTACTATACAGATTAATAAAGAGAAATAACCTCTAAATAACCTCTCAGTAGCGCTCAGTAGTTTGTATTTGAATAATTATCATAGGAGCGAAAGTTCCACGCAAATTTTTGATTGTAAATTCTATGCAAAAGAAGAATGATTTATATAAGTAACTTACAGTTTTGGTTTTCTATACGGCGGCTAATACAATTCTTCTTGAAATTTGAATTCAAACCAGCCACTACTACTACATGGTTCACCAACATTAGTATAGTAACATGGTCCATTTAGTATAGTGGCACTCGCAGTAAGACGCTAGAGACTATTTTACTAATCAGAGTTACGAAATAAGGTTAGGTCGGTTGTCAGCCATTTTTCAGCCAAGTCTATGAAATTCGATTTGAAAAGGATAAAAAGAAAAAAAATATACACATCGATTACATGACTCCAATATTCTTCACTGATACTTCGATATCACGTATCAAAACGCATAAATACGTCAGTGTGCTTCGTATTAGTTAAACAATATGTTTCCAGCATACGCTTACTTGTCAGCTTATGACAGACACAAGAAACTTATAAATGATTATTTATTGTTACATGGAAGTTCGGTGTCGTCCTTGAAACGAGACACGTATGTTACATTTTTTAATCAATTTTTATTTAAGCATTTGATATTCTAGTCGTAAACTTTGTTAGTTTTCGTATAAATCGATGTTTGCAATTTGCATTTGTTTAAAATGTCTATTGAAACATTTATCTGGACATTTTTTTTTGGGCAACTTGATATGTTAACGATACATTGGGATAGACTTATTTAAAAGTAACGGGCGGAGAGAAATGATAACTTTGTAAACCTTAAAACGAGCAGCTCTTGACGTTTCGGCCTGTGTTTCGAGGTCCCGAGATAAGACAGACTATGACGTTATTAGAGAAAACCACAGATTTCTCTGGGATGAAGATAACGATACGCCAGAGTCGTGGGGTGCGAAATTAGCGAAAAAGTATTATGACAAATTGTTTAAGGAATATTGCATAGCTGATTTAACGTATTACAAACAAAATAAGGTACATCGTAGTTGTATTTGATGTACATCAAGTCTTGGAGTTACATAGTTATTAATGTTGAACAGATTGCCTTAAGATGGAGAACGGAGAAAGAAGTAATTGTTGGTAAAGGACAGTTTGAATGTGGAAATAAAAAATGTAAAGTAAAAGAAGGGCTAAGATCTTGGGAAGTAAACTTTGGTTACATAGAACATGGAAAGAAAAAGCATGCTCTTGTGAAATTAAGTAAGCATATTTTTTTTGTTATGTTCTTTAATTTAAAATACACATTCATTGATGATATGCACTTTAAGGATTGTGTCCTGATTGCTCAGTGCATTTAAATTATCGATCGCAGAAACGCGAAGCGAAAAGACATAAAACATTGAGGAGATTAGGAACGAACTTGGAAACCCGCGATAGCATACCTAGTACGTCTGCGGTAGAGATTAAAATTGAAGAGAACGAAGCCGTAAATAATTCTGAAAAATCCATTGAACAAACAGAAAAAGATGAATCGAAAATTTGGAAAGAAAAACCAGTAGACAGTTTAGAAAAGACCAGAGAAGAGGAATTCGAAGAATATTTAGCAGATCTGCTGATGTAAAGAAAACTGAAGTTTTCTCATGGAACAATATTGGTGATGTTAAAAAATTGTTTATTAACGATACTATTGAGAAATATAACAATTTTCATGCATAACACTAGTCATGTTTAAATAAATATAACAGTTATAATCGTATTTTTATTTTGATTGATACATGATTCACATTCTACCATTATATCGCATGGTAATAAAACTTTTATAAATAAAATAACTCTCGTTCGTTTATAATTGTGTTTGCAAAAAAATTAAATCTTCACAGTATGAGAAAACCTAGCACCAGCCAATGTATATGTAGTATACATACATATGTAGATGTATTTTGTATAATAAATAAATACAACTATTTACTTATTTTATTACAGTCAAGAATGTTCAACAACCTTCATAATATATATACAGTTCAAAAAATAAAATCAACTTCTAGTTTGCCTTTCTGTGAAATGTGATCAATTTAATGGTTAATGTATTATAAAATAATACATTTCCATGAGTTTTATTACTTCAAAATCTAACGAGTATTATAATGTATAAATCATTGCTGCCTGAATGTTCACTATGAACTATTTAATTTATAAAATTGATTCTGGAAATTAATAATAAAATATTATTTATATTTCAATTTTATTCTTAACTGATGCTGTATGACAATGATTTGATAAATTGTCATTCTCGACTTCAGCACTACAATCTGAGAAAGCATCACGAGAAAGACTTTCGATTTTATTAGCTACTTCAGCAATGTTTTGCTTATACTTTTGTTTGTAATCATCACGTTCTCAATGTAAAACTTGGAACAGTAACAAGATCGTGTATTATTACCTATATAATAAAAATTAAGAGTATAGTTGGATAAGAGCACATGTTTTATGCATTCTTAATGCAATTTATGTAACAAAGATTCGATAACAATTCGACTTTTTTTTTTTTCATTTTTTTTTTCAATTTAATTCTACTCTTATCGCGTCATTTAACTAAATTTTATGTAAAAAGACTAGCCTAATACTCAATCTTATTCTATTTTCAATATTTATAACACTTACTATTCTCATATAACATATAACAAGTTTATGGTTATGAATATATTGCATGAAACTAAACATATAAAATGTATTGTACATACATGAGAAAGTCTAGAGTATGTAGATACTTTTGTAATGCAAAAATTTAATATCTATGAAAATCCCAAATTTTTGTGCGAAAATGGATATATATTCGAAAATAAGACATAACTAAAAAACGTTATTTTATTACTAGTGAGCAATAAAATATTGCTTCTCTTGTCCCTTAGTTAAAAAGTTATTACCGATACGAAAGAATTAACAACTATATCCTGTATTTGATTCGTTTTCATTATTAATTAAAATATATTAATAACATTATAGTACTCTAGTATATAATATTATCAATAGATGTGAGTAACTAATAAAATAATCATTTATGAAGATATAGAAGAATTCCTAAATTCCTTGACTGGAAATATTTTGCGATCTCGTACAGTTTTATTTGAATTTAAATAAATATAGAGCCAAGTCAACAAGAGATATACATTAACACGCATATTAACATACATTGCTGTTTACAGTAATTCATAACTTGCAACTTTTTAAGTCATATTATATGACGATAAATTCAGTTTATATATATATATTAACCCGTAAATATATTGCGTTCATTTTGGAATATTTGTTCTATTGAAAATATCGTAATGGAAATAGAACGTGAAAATTAAACAATTTTTTTTCTTGAATTATACCCGAGTAATATATTGCATCTAAAATGATAGTTAAAAACAATTGTACATACTTTTATGTACACATACATTGGACTAATTAACCAATGACGTTATTAATTATAAATAGTTAAATAAATCTAATCAAGATTTGAGAATATAATTACAGAGTGGCAAAACCATATCAAATTTTACGCTATTAATAAATGATTGAAAGAATGCAAAAATGAAACTTAGTCTGAAGAAATCATTCCATACATCCGATCAAGATCTCGAAGTACTTCTTTCACATAGCGGGGTTGTATTAAACCTTCCAGTAATATCGCTAAATCATTGAAAGAATGTAGGAACGAAACGTAACGGAAAGAAGTAGCATGAAAAATAATTCATTTACAGTTACCACTTCTTGAACACGTTCTTACGTGATTCCCGTGCTTTTGAGAGTCACTGTCTTCGTCACTACAATCTTCGTCGTGTGTATGCGTTACATTGCGCGGAGTTTCAGGCCTTGCATGTGGTATTTGATTGTTTGCAGAATCCACGTATAACGTCTTCTGATAATTAATAACACGAATTGTTTAAGATTTACTAGATATTTAGACTAGTAAATATCTAACAATGAAATGGATACTTACCGATGGCTTGGTCGGTTCTTCTTCTTCGTCGTTAAACTTAAAAGTTCGGGATCGACTAATCATTGGTGTTTCCATTACAAATCTCTGTTCGTGAGCCACTGTACTTTCATGGGGCATCTGAAAATGATTAAGTGAAAGTTGAATAACATAGTTTACAAGAAAGAAAGAGGATATTCTTTAGTATGCACTCACCAACATGGCAGGAGCTCGAAACATGTACGAGAACGGATAATAAATGAGGTTCAAGAAGGTTGCCGCGTAAAGATCAGCATACCTCACCACTTGACTGCTGAAAAAGGTTTGCCTACTTCCGCTACGAAACAGAGAACCCATCATTCCGTAAGACAGATCCATTTTGTGCGTGACGTCCCTTATGGATGCTCGGAGCTTTGAAATGTCAGGTTTTTCTTTTGTGCTGCTATCTAAATTTCTGGAAGTTACAAGACGCAAATATAGTACTTGATACTTTTATGTTTGTTAGCAATATTCAGCAGTTGTTTTTCACTTACTTATACATTTCTCCTAGCATAACATCTAGGTTCTGTAATTCAGCGAATAATTGACACTTGTCCGTCCAAACATGAAGTTCTTGAACGAGTTCAGGCACTATCAAAAACGTTCTCCACCCTCTAATTTTTTTACTCTTTAAAATATCACCAAAAATATGATCTCCAACGTACAAAACATCTTTGCCCTTTGCGCCTATAAGCTCGGTGAACACGTCGCACGAACCCCCTGAGTAAACTTCACCTGTTTAAGGAGAACGTTATAAAATTACTGTTTGACTACTAACAGACTGGAGCCATATTCTAATTCTAATTAAACCGATAGGTGACGTTTACCTGTATGAAG